TATGTAGATTTTAAATAAGCGAATGCAGTCATCCAACACGAGCTATATCGAACTGCAATTGTTTTTAATTATCACCAATTTATAGCAATTCAATTGACCACAACTCATAAATTAAAGTGATGAAAACAAATTGAGTAAAGTGGTTAGTGGAATTAAAATACAAACATAAAAAGCGAAGAATAAAAATAAAAAAGATTAAAAATAAGTGCAGCTTATTAAATTTATTTTTAATTTATGCAAATGTTATTCACTGCTTTCTTTGTCTTTTACGAATTTGTGAATGCTGTGTGTGTTTGAGTGCAGCAATTTTAAATGAACAAATAGTATAATTTTAGGCGCCGGAAGAGAAATTCTTAGTATGTATACAAAAAGAGGAAGGTAGTTATGGTAACGCCGAAATCACTTAAGTCTTTTTTTTCCTCGTTTAGGTTTCTTTATTCTGTTTACGGCTTGTATGGAAAACTAATAGCTGGCGACTTTAACTAAAATGTGATCAATAATTTAGTTTTTGTGCACCTGAATTGATGAATAAAATTTCATCATGATGACGATTGTTGGCTAGCTCCAATTCTAGCTAGCTGCGTTGTGCGAGCGTATAACTCCAGGTCTTGGAGGCTGGTCAGGTTGAGGTTTATATTGAAAGTCCCAGAAGCGGTATCACATCTCTTCCAAAAATTTCAGATTAATCAGTCTCTTTTTGTTGTTTCTTTGAACCTTGGAGTGACTGATTGATCTGCATATTCGAAACAAAATTCCTTGTGAATGCCTGTCACAGGCTCAAAATACATACAAACGTCAAGTGTAGGTTAGGTTAAAGCAGCTGCCTTCATCCAACGTAGCAGAGAGGGACACTTAGACCCAGTGGATCCGTTTTGATACCAATTGAGAGCTCGAATTCGTATCCGTACGTTTACTTGGAAGTGGAACCAGTTGGTTAGGTTCAGAAAGCGCGAGAATTCGTGAATGCCTGCTTCACTTAGATCGGAAAGACCTACGAAAAGGTGGTGATTGGTCGAGATCCTCCTACGCTGGATCGTAAAGACAATATTGAGCGGAGTTTTACCAATGTGCTTCCGGGGCTTAGTTACTATCAAAACCATCCTAATTAAACGTTTGTACCTCATTTTCTACAACAGATCTAGCAAAGAGCCAACTAGAAATTCTACCGGGTAGTATTCTCTTACCTCTGCAGAGCTCTGCTGTGCATTGCGGCCGTAAATGATCTGCTGGTGAATAGAGAATATCTGATGACTTCGCAGTTTTCTTCTTTGCCGCTGTAACCGCGTTTCTCTTCAGTGCCAACTGACGCCAATTGGAAATGCCAAGTGAAGCCAAGTCCTTCTCCCTCTTGCTCTGCTACCACCAGCTGGATAGCTGGAGCGTCGATGTCCATTCGAAAGATATGACCAAGCGACGTCGGAAAGAGGGGCAAATATCTATTTTATTAGGCAAGCGGCAATCAAGAACAAATCGGTCATAACGTGGTCTAGGCTAGTAGGGGAATGAATGTTATCTCTTTCAGTTGTGTCTAATTATTTCGTAGTCAGACTTAAATGAGTATGAGAAAGTAGTGACTTTGCAAGAAACTACGCGCGGATAAGTTGGCTAGTACAGGCATTGTTAAAATTGAAAGTCGGGATGCCTTTGATTAATTCGGACTGCTCCCGGACCTGGGCCGTTTGTCAGCTCAGCGAACTTAAAACTGGGCATCACTCCGTTTGTGTGACAACAGCAAGACGCTTGTCACAAATTGGAGAAAAGCGTCCGCCAAACACATTTAAACGCATAAGAAAATATTTGTTAGAATCGAGAATTTGTAATGCAAGTATTATTGTTACTTTTCCAACAGAGTGTTCGTCCAAATGCTTTTCATTCACATGTACAAAGAAATAAAAAGAAAGTGTGCTTTTACGTTGATAATTATGACGATATGTTTCACGTCAGAAGACAAAATTACCACAATGCACCCATATCAAACAAGTTATACATACTTATATATATACACACGAAAGTGTTCAAATAAATACAAAGTCAAGCTAAGAATCACGCAACATTTTTAATTATTGCATATTTTTAAACAATGCGTAAAAGAAATGACCATTGAAAATTGGGCACTTTTGTATGTATGTATATAAAAAATAAAGAAGCGACGGAAACAAGATCAAAAACAAAGAGTACAAGAAAACTTTCCTAACTAATTTGCATAGAGACAACAGCATCCAAATAAGGGCAGCACAGAAATATAAAAGCAGTAAACTGCTTGAAGATCCTCATTAGCGCTCACACTGCGTACAACGAATTGAAAAGGAGGCCATAGTCAATGACACAATCGCAAAAAAACATATACTTCTATATAACACGTAGAAAGCAATCGAAAATAATGAAATACTTCACCGCCTTTCTCTGCCTAAGTATTTTTAAGATTTTATTTCTTAAATTACACATATATTTTTTATTTGCAATGAAATTGAATTTACAGCGCTCTTCCATGTTACCGTTACCAAAATGACCAGCTGGGCTCTTATCAGCAACCAACATAAGGATCAGGAAGACAGCCAAAAGCAACGTTATCAGAAGTATTACCATAATGACTTTTTGTATGACGACGAGCAGCGTAGTGAGCAGCGAAAAAGTGGCAGCCACACTAGCGGACGTTGCATCAATTGTCAGCGAAATGAGGAGTGAGAGCAGATAGAGGCGGCGCAATTGTTGGATTTAATATCACGTGGGTTTGAAGAAACTATTGGTTACATTTGTGGCAGAGTAAATGTTTTGAATGGCTGCTAAGGGCTAATGTGCCAAATTAGTGCTCTGCAGGTTAAAGGAAAGATAGAAGAAATCTTGGCTATAAAAAATTATTTAAAAAATATATATATGTAGATATCTAGTATTTTCCAAGATCTTCTCGCCTGTGTATTGCTTTTGTGAAAGCAAACAAATACCACAAATTACTATTTAAACCAATCATTATCTGTTAGTAAATAAGTTTGGCTTAAATTATTTTTTAGGTTTCCAAATTAGTCGCTTTTTGTTTTATCTTAATTTTATACAATAAAAGCCAAAACATTTTCTTATCATCTTGTATGAAGTTTTCGTTTGGTAGGAGAAGCTATGTGGGTGTGGCGGCTACTATAAAGAGGCAGGGTATTAAGGCGCAAAACTGAAGGCCCGTTGTGATAACATGACAGGAAAAGTTTCACTCCCCCTCAATGAACCGTTTATAGTATCGGATGAACCTCCTCTAGTTACCTTAGATTTAAGTCCGTCACTGCAGTTACGTTTTCCGCCACCTTCTAGTTGACAACTGCGGCAAGTTTTGTTATATGGGAGCCCCATTCTCTCTGCATGTTTGCCCATCGGCCAGTGACCAAAAATGAGTGCCACAATTCTAAATACTTCTGTCCTTAACCTGTGTCTTAACTATTTGCAAGTCTGTATATCCAACCACCTTTCCTTGACAAAAAAAAAAAAATTCACACTGATTTCTCCGAGAGGTAGTCCCAGTGCAAAAGCTTCGAATTCCTCCAAGTAGGCTACTGTCTTCGCCAATTCGTCGGCCATCTCATTACCTTCAATGCTGATATGGCCGGGAACCCAGACAATAGAGACGCTAATTGACGCAGACACTGAGCATTATTCTGCTTTGCACCTCTCGACAAGCTGGAATTTAGTTACCGGTGATGCTAATGCTGACAGAGCCGCCTAGAACCTTAGAAGCTTCAAAGATGGCCAAACCTACCGCTTGGCAGATGCTTGCTACTGAAAAAGCCCTTCAACGCTAATACCCTGACCTTGATCTTATTAAAAGTGCATTCTATGCCCAGAAAGGCAGCTACAGTACATTGCTGGAAGTGGAGTGATTTTTTTAGGAGACACACAACTTCGTGAAGAACGATGTCCATGGATGTTCAATTAATAAACGTATGTTGTGCATTTGAGCATGTCACTTTCCCCAATAGTGATCTTATATATGTAGATATCTTGGAGACAGGAAAGTAACATCACTATCTGTCCGATTGTGTCACTCTGCTTCAATGAGAGTAACAACCAGTGCCGCAAACTGATCCTCCACTGAGCCTCCAAAAAGGTCGGTAGAAGTAAAAATCTGTGACTCAACTTGAAATAATCAACTCTCTTATGGCAGAAAAAGACCACAACGAAAGCTTGAAGCTCCTTTCACAAAACGTACCGGGAGGCTTGCAACACAAATACCGATCACCATGCACTCTCGTTTAGAAGCCCACTTCCCAGCGAAGAGTATCTTGGGTTTGGTTAAGATGGACACAGGTCGAGCTTGCCGACCTCCTGCAATTTAAAAACTTAACCAGCGTACACCTCCATGTAGGTGCTAGGGATGTTACTAATTTCCCTTTTTACGATCCCAGGATCCCGGCATTAACATCCCCAGTAGGCACCCACCAAGTTCGACGTACTGATCCTCATCTGACCATCTATAATTCTGGATTTCAACCTCAATAAGAGCTCGAGGAAGTCCCACTAACCGTACTGAAAATTACCTAAACGCACGGAGTTTGAACTTGACCTTTTGCCATATAGCAAAAAATTTGAAGAAAATAGCCGGCACAGATGACAACAGGAGACAAGATACCTAGGCATCAGTAAAAGCGAGTTAACCCACCTTGGCAAAATGAGTGATATAAGGGAAGCAGTACAACTCACAGTCGCCCTCATCACGTGGAGATGCTAGCTGGTTATAGGCGTACGCAAAGCTCGTTGCTTGGTTTCATAGTAGATTCATGGAACGATAACAGCCTAAATCTAGTTAATCATGAACTAGTCTGAACGTTGTTGATCTTTTTTGTTGTTAAGTACATCTAACTAGAAAAAGAACCAAACTCGTTCTAACATATTTATTAATAAAAAGACTCTCAGAGTCAAATATGCGGTTATTAAATTCAGTAAATTCTTATTAATTAAATTAAATTAAAGTTCAATTAAAATGTTTTACATAATTTTATTTGTAAATTTTTGTTTGTAAAATAACTTTTTAATACTTATATGATAAAATTATTAAAACAAATAAGGAAGGGATTTACTTCTTACCCCTAACTAACCACTATTCGCTCTTCAGCTCCTCTGCCTTACAATGCTTGAGCCAATGCATTGCACAACGTTGGCGCGGTGTTGATTTGAAGCCCAAATCAGGACGCTTGCACACGAATGTATCCATAACACATTGATTGGGAAATTGGTGATAGCACTCGCCATTGAAAGCGCAAACAGGATTAAAATCGAATTTCGTGCACCCAATATCGCAATTGTTGGCCTGCGTTGTCACCTCTTGCTCCGCAACGACAGTGCTGCCCTCCTTCTCTGCGAGTGGAGCTGCAACAGCAGCCTCATCCACAGCGCGTAACTTACGCGAGCTACGTGGCAAATGGGACATTTTCGTACCGCGTGCATCTGTTTGAGGCAATGGTGGGACAGGTGTGGCTTTTGTCATTTTCCTCTGGTCCATAACATTGAAAGATACCGCGCGTGCGATGCGTCGACTCTGAGCCGGGAAATGTGGTGTGGTAACTGCAACGACTTGCCCTGGCAAAACTATCGACGCCTCAGTTGAAGTGCTAGTTGTTGTTGAGTCGATTGGAATGCGTGGTACAAAAGGTACGTGTGACACAGAGGCTGGTAGTATGGAGACGTCGAAACCTATGAGTGGAATGAAGGGTTCGAGTTGGGTAGTGGTAACGGTTGTTGATATCGGTGATTCAGTGCTGCTTACCGGCGCGCTTAGGTCCAGCATTACTGTAATGCCCTCCACGGCTTGTCGGCCGTCAGTCATTGTACTTGTTTCGATTACATCAGGTACTGTTGTGCTTTCGATGGGTGATGTGGTAGTGCTTATCTCCAAAACTTGACGTCGCTTGCGCGCGGTCACGATGTCATATGCCACGAGTGGCTCATCAACTAAGTTGGTAGACGGTTCCGTGATAAACTTTATGACTACAGTTGGAGGCGGCGTTGGAGTTGAGGGCTCAACAACTAAGTTGGTAGACGGTTCCACGATAGACTTTATGACTGGAGTCGGTGGCGGCGTTGAAGTCGATGGCTCATCATCTAAGTTGGTCG